ATATATATATAGTATAATTCAAACTTTCCATAGTAAAGAATGTAGAGTATGCTGCTCAGACTTTGAAAGGCAGGAGGGTTAGGAATGTGTGCTTTGTAAATCTGGTAAAAACTGAGGACTATATAGTAGTTGGACTTCCCTTTTCAAAGAAAACCTGGAACTGACACAACCAAGTAGAAAATCACCTAATTAAGTGATATCTTTTGTTCTGTTTTCAGGAGCATTCAGATGACAATCTTTCTTACTCAATTAAAACCAGAAATGGAACGTACCTCCTAAAACTGAAGAAAAATAGGTAAGTGATAGATTGTTCTAAGAAATCCTTCCATCTTGGGATTTCGTTGCATGCAGTATGCAGTGTAGAAAAATACAGACAAGTATTTTTCTACTGAAAACATTCAGAAGAAGCCATTTAAATGTCAGATTGTAGTAATTACAAAGTGACTCTTAACTAGTGTTTCTGTTATGGTACTAGCTTGCAAATAGAAGGGAATAATATTTTTTCTATTTGTGCAGAAATTTATTTTTATTATTATTTTGTTAGCACCACACGATAGTAGATTTCAGAAAAACCTTATAGAAAATTAGAATTCAGTTCAAAATTACTTCTTTATTAGTGGGGAGGGTTTTTAGCAGTGTTGTACTTGAAGAAATTTTTCTGTTACTGTTGTTCCTCATTCCTGAGCCTTTAATAGTCCGGGCCCTGACATAACAGCCTGTTCAGATCCTACTCTATGGATATTTTAGTTAAAATATTTCCAAATAACTTATTTTCCAAATAAAGAACCTCATTTTTGAGATATTTTGTTTCCTGTGGATTTTAACAATAATTTAGCTTCAGTGTGCTGCTAACAGACTGTTAGAAGAAAATTAACTCTATCCTAGCAAAACCAGGACAAGTACTTACTAGGATTCTTGACCTATTTCTTGCTTTCTAGACTGTTAAAAGAACAATAGTTTATTTTTGTTTCCAGAAAGCTTGTTAGTGAAGACTTTATGCTATATACATATGGGAAAAATGGGAAACTGGAGGCAACACAACCAAAAAACAAGGTATTGTATATAATAAAATCCCCTTTTTGTTTAAGAGTGTCCTCAAACCAGGGAAGCCTTTAGGAATTGAAGGGCATAGTAACAAATTTGATAGAACTGAGGACAACAAGAAGGATGTGTATGCATCTAAATATATTTTCAAAGCAAAAGTGAATGCACAAGCATTAATTCTGAGTGTCTTTGTATCTCTATAATAGGACAGTGAAAATTGGTTACATTTTTGGCAGCGGAGGGGAAAATGCAAATGATGCATATAAAGTATCTCCAGAAGAAAAATATATTTGCTGGGAAAGAGGCTTTTGTGAATTTTCACATTTGTAGCATTTCTGTTGAAGTTACCACTAATAAAAAACTTAAGGTTCTATGTCTTAGGAGGGAGTGGGCTGTTATTGGTGATACAGCATCCCTGTTTTCCAAGGGGTGAAAGGAGATGCCAGGAGATTGTGCCAAGACTGAATTTGAGCTACCTGATTAGGTCACCTTTGCATAAGGTGCAATTAAAGGTACAATGGCCTCATCAAACAAGCCTTACAAATGCTTTTGTGTTTAATTTCAACTTTCAGCTGCATGTGAGCTCAGTGAGAATTAATTGGGTGCTTTGTGCATGGGAGAGAGATCCACCTTTGAGCAGAGTCTCTTTAAGAACAGGATGAGCAACATGGAGTAAAAGGTTTTGTTAAAAGACGGTGATGGGTTAAACCAAAAAGCTGTTTGTTTTCTAGAACCAAGGGAGCAAATGCTGTTGTAGTTACTCATGTCCAGTAATGTTTTACTTTAAGAACACTTCAGATTCCTTTTAGAATAGGGAACTCTGTAAACAGCCAGCCTTAATGTCAAACAAATAAAAAGGATTAAAAAGTAAAAATAAAAATAAACCCCCCATATTTTGTCATTAATTATGTTTCGTTGCATTTCAGACATTCTGTTATTATCATGGAACTGTTGAAGGAGTTGCTGACTCAATGGTTGCTCTTGGCACGTGTGATGGCCTTAGGTATTACCTCTTGCTTTTTACTTCAGGATAAGTCATTGTGCAGTACCAAAGTAAAACAGTAAAAAAAAACCCAGTTGCTATTCATCATACAGCTGGAGAGAAAACACCATCCTATCTTGCAATTTTTTTATATATTTCGCCTTTTGATCATAGAATCATAGAATGGCTTGGGTTGGAAGGGACCTTAAAGCTCATCCAGTTCCAATCCCCCCGCCATCAGCAGGGACACCTTCCACTAGACCAGGTTGCTCAAAGCCTCATCCAGCCTGGCCTTGAACACTTCCAGGGAGGAGCAGCCACAGCTTCCTTGGGCAACCTGTTCCAGTGTCTGACCACCCTCACAGTGAAAAACTTCTTCCTAATATCTCATCTAAACCTCCCCTCTTTCAGTTTAAACCCATTTCCCCTTGTCTTGTCATTAGTTGCCCTTATGAAAAGTCCTTCCCCAGCTTTCTTGTAGCCCCTTCAGGTATTGGAAGGCCAATATAAGATCTCCCCGGAGCCTTCTCTTCTCCAGGCTGAACAGCCCCAACTCTTTCAGCCTGATGAAGATGAAACTCTGTAGAGGTTTTATATCTTCCCTCAACTGCCAGGTTTTTTCCCCTTTTACAAAATTCCTTCACAGAAAAAGACAACATGAGAGAGAGCATAATCCAAATATAGGCAGAACATAGGCACAAGCTGAAACCTCTATTACTTGATGCAAATGTCTTGACCAGAGGTAGAAGAAACACTGAGGAAGCATTTGCTAAACTTAATATGCTCCTGTAAAAAATTCCATCTTATGAATGAGCATGTTTCAAAAGGAAAACCATTTCTCTGGAAAAAGTTTTGACCAAATTTGAAACAATTTTTTTGTGTTTCAAATACAAGAAAATTACATTTATCTGAGAAATATAAGGGGGCTGGATTAATGCATAAAAGATGATGGTGTTCTCCCTGCAGAATCAGTCCATGTGAGTTGGTAAAATGAGATGAAGAATAAAATGGTCAGCATTCTGGTATTTCAGGAAATGCTGGATCTCACTGAGCAGAACAGATATTTCACTTTTTAACTCATGCAAACTCAAGTCCTTTGGTTACCTTGAACTTAGTTTTCGAGGATTTTCTGTCACAAGATATTGACTAAAGAATTCTTTTTCTAAATATAGTTTTGAGATTCTGAAAACAAGATAATAATTTCTGAAAGATCCTGGTACAGCAAACGGGCAGGTACCAGGTGTTTTTGAACCGTGGACAAATGCAAAATCTTTACACTTAGCTGCAGTCAGCAGTGCAATGCTGCTGTTGCCCTCATAAACACCTGGTAATTGCTTTTAGCCTGTCTTTCTGTCTTAATGTATGTATTTTTCTTAAATGCTAGATTACTTTAGCTGCATGCAACTAGGAGATTAGAGATAAGGACTAAGAGAGACCCTTTGCATCAGCTCTGTACCCACAATCCAGATTCATTTAGTAACAATTTGGCTTTCCTGCTAATTGATTCAAGGAGCTCACGCTTGTGTACGATCGAGTGGAGCATCTCCCTTATGAGGAGAGGCTGAGGGAGCTGGGGCTCTTTAGCTTGGAGAAGACTGAGGGGAGACCTCATTAATGTTTATAAATATGTAAAGGGTGAATGTCATGAGGATGGAGCCAGGCTCCTCTCAGTGATGCCCAGTGACAGGACAAGGGGCAATGGGTGTGAGCTGGAACACAGGAGGTTCCACTTAAACTTCAGAAGAAACTTCTTTACAGTGAGGGTGACAGAGCCCTGGGACAGGCTGCCCAGGGAGGGTGTGGAGTCTCCTTCTCTGGAGACATTCAAGACCCGCCTGGACGCCTTCCTGTGTGATCTCATTTAGGTTCCTGCTCCAGCAGGGGGTAGGACTGGATGATCTTTTGAGGTCCCTTCCAATCCCCAACATTCTGGGATTCTGTGATTGTGATTCTGTGAGTGTTTTAATAAGTTCTCTTTTGTCTTTTGAGATCCCGTTGGGCATTTGAACTTACCCCCTAATACTAAGATAAATTAAGATAATAATTTATTTCAACATAGTGGTATGAAAATTACATTTTTTTTAGTATTCAGTTGTCATTCACTCACCTAGTCATAACCACGAGGGAAAAATTGTGGAGTAATTTTTCATTCTTTTATGATTGTTAGAGGAATTCTCTACATCGGTGGCAGATGGTATGGAATGGAGCCACTCAACACATCCAGCACATTTGAACATGTGTTTTACCAGTTAGAAGATATGCAGGATATCCCCTTCCAATGTGGTGTACTGAACAGCAGCCTTCATCATGAGATGTTTGTGAAGCACTCTGTGAAATACATGTTTTTATCAAACAGCACTTCTAGCAGGGAAACGCTTTTGAGGGTAAATACCTTTCTGTTTCTGTCTTGAGAGCTGCAGTTTAAGCCATCTCCTCAGTCTGTTCCAGCAGCCAAGGGTCTCCAGAGCTCTTGCTTTGGCATGTTATCATTGCAGGTGGGTTTGGCCTGGCAGGTCATGTCCTTGTTGCCTTCATTTTCATGGACTCCAAACTGGTGGGAGTACTGCTAAGGAATTCCTGAAACAGAAAACAGCAGAACAGGATTTAACATGGCTGGAAGCAATCCTTTTGCAGAAGAGCAGAGCTCTGCCCAAGACAGTTGTGGGTATGACGTGAAAGGCATGAAGCTGCAATTCAGCTCCTGCATCTCAGTGTCTGAGCAGATGTGAATTACTGACATACAGATATTTATGTGGAAATCTAAGGCAAATTGGCTTTTGAGGCCACATTAAAAAATGCATCATTGCTTTCTAAATCCATGAAATGAAAATCATGAGAGAGAGAAGTAAAAAAAACCAAACTTGAACTCATTAGTCATTATGTTAACTTACTGTGCTTTCTAATTTGCAGAAGAAGCGAGCTGTCCTGCCACAGAAAAGCTACGTGGAATTATTTGTGGTTGTGGATAACAACAGGGTAATGATTTTATCCAATGCTACATACATTTTATTAAATCATTAAATTTTTTCTCTGATATTCTCATGTCCTATTTTACAGTTTTTGCTGAAGAAATCTGATCCTGCTGCAGTGCAAAAGGAAACAGTTGAGCTGATTAATTATGTTGATGGGGTAGGTCAGATAAGTTGCTAAGATTCAGTAGCTTCTACTTTATCATTGTTTTCAAAAGAAGAGTTATTGCAGTAAATCTGAACAATTATGTTCTGAAACTGTATTTTGAAGTTGTACAACAGTTTGTAACACATTTAAGGTACCTCGTGAATCTATGCACGAGTCTTACCAAGGTGTAGACAGAGGGAGAGATGCAAGATGTTTTTAAACCACTTCTCTGTGCTCCCAGACTTTGGCTGCTCCAGAAACGTGAGGTCACCAGTAGGTTTTATGTTTCCAAGAAGAGTATTTCTGATGTATGTAGTTCTGTTTCATGAAGCACTGTAAACAATTCCATAAGCTCTGTCATCATTTGTTAACAGTTTCTCCTCAAGACAATTCACTGAGGAAATGAATGAATTTGTTCTTTCCAACAACTCCAACTGAAATATATGTTTAGGTAACTTCTTGAAGTAGATTGCCTTCACTCATAGATTCTTTAAGGAAATGAATGAATTTGTTCTTTCCAACTACTCCAACTGAAATGTTTAAGTAACTTCATGAAGTAGATTGCCTTCACTCATAGATTCTTTCCTCACATCAACCTTGTCATTACTCAAAGAAACTAAAGTTATGTCTCAGTCATTATGATCAACTTAATGTTTTCTCAGTAGTAGTGACATAATCTTTCATAATTCAGTTGAAACAGACTGATGGACAGTAATTATTGTATTTTTTTTTCAGATGTATAGAGCATTAAACATCCAGATTGTTTTGGTTGGATTAGAGATCTGGACAGATACAAACTTTATCTCTGTAATGGATGGTTCAGCTGGAGATGTACTAAGTAGATTTGTTTCTTGGAGACAGAAAGTTCTTCTTAAGCGGTCACGTAATGATGTTAGCCACCTCGTCATGTAAGTATTTGTTCAGTGGAAAAACTCGCTGTGCTGCCAGTGTTGTTAGTGTATATGATTTTGGTGATTGGTCATGATTTTCAAGCTCTGTTACTCAGATGTTCATTATTTATTACAGTGAAACCCTGATATGATGATAAATTTCTTGATGTCAAGAAAACCAACTCTTGACTTGCAGTATTTGTTTCAGACTCATCAGTGTCTTTTAGTAGAAATCATGAACTTTCAGCTCCTCTCTCAACCCCACCTTCAAAATGCTTTTGTTGCAGAGGGAGAAGCTCTTACGGTGGATCCATTGGGATGGCTTTTGTGGGTACGGTCTGCTCACAAGTCCAGGGAGGGTCAATCAGCACTGTAAGTACATCACGTTGTGGTTAATGGAAGAAACTAGCACAGGAGCTGCTAAATTGTCATAGAATCATAGAATGGTTTGGGTTGGAAGGGACCTTAAAGCTCATCCAGTTCCAACCCCCCTGCCATCAGCAGGGACACCTTCCACTAGACCAGGTTGCTCAAAGCCTCATCCAGCCTGGCCACAAACACTTCCAGGGACGTGGCAGCCACAACTTCCTTGGGCTCCAGTGTCCACTTCATAGATGTGCTGCTAGTGAGACCAAGAGGTACCTGACCAACTGAAGGCTTTCACCTGTGCATTTGCACAGCCCAGAGTTGTAGATGCTGCTATTGCCAGACATTGCTTCCACAGAGGAACCTTCAAGAACATCCTAACAAATAATGTGGACTTTGCTGACCTATTTGGTCAAGTCACTCAGGTCTTGGGAGTGGTACAGTTTCTTTCATGGGGTTTTTGATGTAAAGACTTGTGCACATTTTTATACTTAAAAAAAAATGTATTTCTCTCTTCATCACGTTCCAGTCCCTTTGGCTGATTTAGTCCTGAAATAATTGGTTTTGCCACCTTTTTGTAATTCAGCTAGCTCAAGGTTGTATAAGAAAAGCCCATTCTTGTTCTGTTAAGGTTCATAACAACGATGGTTTTGGGATGGGAATGCAGCTACAAAATAATGTGTATTTTTTGACTCTTTACATGGATAGATAGTGAACATAGTGCACTCTATTCTCAAGCATCTGGAATTTTCCACAATGAGGCTCTAAATGGGCAAGAATTTTAACTTTGGCAAAATTAACCAGAAACTAGTTTTTTCTCCTTTACCCTGGGGTAGCACCAGTATCTCCAGAGGTTCCTGTCCTTACAATATTGATGCCACAACATCATGGACAATCTTACAGGCAGATTCTGTTCTTTGTAACAGTCTTTTGTCTTTTTTTGTAGAAGATTCCATTGAAATCGGTGTCATGACTGATTAACTGTGTTGTTATTCAGAACATGATACTAATGGAAGGAATAAAAACAGGGGCAGAATCTGTCCCTGCCTGAAAATAAACAGTGACAAATTGTCTGTTCTTGCTGCTTTCACTTTGCAATACAATTCACTATTCTGTCTTCACAGCCTCTGAGAGCTTTGTGACTTGAATAAAGTCTGTTTGTAAGTTAACTTAAGAAACTTAATAAAGTTTCTACTGTGGTAGAAACACAGTATTTTCTTTAGTTTCACTATTTTAACATTAATTCTCTTTATTAGTTGAATCATAACAACATGTTACGTCATGCTACAGTAGTTGCACATGAACTGGGGCACAATCTTGGGATGAAACATGATGATAAAAGGTGTCCTGCATCCTATATCATGCACAGCACAGATAAGTAAGATTTCCAGTTATTTTACTTTAATAAGCTGTGAAACTCCTATGAATCTTGAAGAACTTTGTGAATGGGGAGTTGCTTGAAAAGTTTAATCACAGAGATTAATTCACTGAGTTAGGTCTTGGCATCATTTTATTTGAAATGTTATCTGTTTTTCAATCCAGTCATTTTTTATTTGTACCATTCCTAAAAACTTATTTATATTTTCTTAATTTTTTTTTTAATGATAGTTCTGCTGAGAACACTTTAAATATATTCACTGGCTTTGTGCAAACGTGCATCCTTTGCACAGATTCTCTTTAACAGTTAATTTAAACAAAACCTCTCAGCCTATGTTTCTTCCAGTTCATTTGTTCTTTGGCTTCCCCTTAAGAGAAAAATATCATACTATTTTATCTACCCACATTTGTATTAATAAATCAGAGTAGTTCAACATTGGACAAAACTACTATAAGAAGATGCATTCCTGAGTTCTTAGGGACTCCAAGTTAAGGTGAATATCCTTCTGGAAAGTATTTTTTAATCAAGCATTTTTAGACTCAGCACAGACAAGGAAATTTCTAAGGCCTATTTTATATTGGACACCAGAATGGATAATCCAATGGTCTCTTGGGCTCCTAAAAGTACTTGTATTTATGTTATACACAGTATTTTTAACTTCTAGTACTGTACTCTAATATAAAATATAGTAAAAATTATTTCATTATGTCCTAATGTTATTTGACATTATATTTATTATAGATTGACATTATTTTAATGGCTTGAATTGTATTTTTTTTCCTGAAAGCAAAAGCTTTATAATGAAAAAAATAATATTATGCTTTCCAGTGGATCCAGGAATTTCAGCACCTGCAGTGCTGATGATTTTGAGAATCTTATTTTAAATGGAGGTGGAAACTGCCTTAGAAATCCTCCCAAAACAAGCAATGTTTACAAAGAACCCGTCTGTGGTAATAATGTGGTCGATGACAATGAAGAATGCGACTGTGGCAAACCACAGGTAATGAATAAAATTCACTGGATACTTGTATATTATATTATGTTATATTTGTTGTATAATACTGGCCTTTTGATATACCTGATTTGCATTAATATCTGAGGAGTTTTCCTTGTAAATTTACATTTTTGCAAGCAATATGAAGATAAATTTTAGAAAAAGCATAAAATTATACTTTGATTTTGATATGAACTCAGTTAAGGTCTACAGGACTCCACAGAACTTTGAGCCAGTGCTTAAGAAGTGCATTTCAATGCAGAGTATGTGGAAACACCTCTGCTTTTTTGTGCTGGTTTTAGCAACGTGGATATTTCTGTTACATAAAAGACACTACTTATCTCTAGAGTACTTACAGCTTTCCTAACTGTAACCCTTAAGCTTAGCCCACAACAAAATTACTTTTGTTGGTCATATTTCCATTGTCAAAATGTCCCTCAAAGAATGAGATATATTGTCTTGTTCTTTAGAAATTAAAAGTGTCTCAAAAAAGACAGCAATAAATCACAAGGCTGTCGGCAAACCCTGGTTCCATTGTGTAGACCTTCTTCTAAGTCATGAAAAGATACCAACCTTTCTATCAAACTGTTAGTGTAGTGGAAAAATAAGATGGGGGAAGGGATGGTAAGAAGTGCTATTTAAAAAACAAAGTGTTCTGCTTCTTTTAGTGTCTGTTTAAAGTGTAAACCTCTCCTATACCCCTGTGCTACAACACATCAAAACAGATGTTTTTTCTGATGACTTGTAGTAAAAAAAATCAGCCAGATTGTACGCTGGTTTCTGTGAGAGCAGAAGGTTGTCAGCCTCAAAACACGCAAGAGAGACGGTGTATTTATAGATTGCTTTGTCCATGCACTTGGTTTGATGATGTACATCCCTAGCTATATAGTGAGGTAAAAACATTGTGTCCCCCTGTCCGTGGTTGTTCTTCAGGAATGTACTAACCCTTGCTGTGATGCTGCAACCTGCAAACTCACACCTGGGTCACAATGTGCTCAAGGGCTGTGCTGCCAAAATTGCAAGGTAGGTTCTGTTTTATTAAGCTAAACTGATACTGTTTACTGGTATTTTTTAATGTTTTAAAAGAGCTATCATAGCACTCTTGACATATTTTCATATTATCAAACTACATTCGCCAGTAGAGAGCACGTAAGCAGAGAGTTTATGTCTTAAAAACTCCTAGCCAGTAGCTTAGAAATGGAATTGTCATCTCTGTGTCATCCCTGGAAGGAGGCAGGAGCAATCGGGGACTCAGCAGTAAGTGATCTTCATTACACAACACCAGGCTTCTCTGAAGTCTGTGATAGTTGGATGCTTTTTAATTTGTCCTTGTGTATGTAGCTGTACAATCTACCCCAGTCCTCTGCAGTTTCAGCTCATACACTTTATAGCTACACTACTGAGGGAAGTTTGGGATATTCATTAGAGATTGCTCTGAAAAACTATTTCATCTTCCTTAAAATCACAAAAGGTTTCCTAGTTGTCATTGTTTCATGTTGGAACTTCCACTGTTGCAAAATAAAAGTAGGGTGGCATTCCTCTTCTCTGGTTCTAGTTTAAGGTGGCAGGAACAGAGTGCAGATCGAAAATGGATTTCTGTGATTTACCTGAATACTGCAATGGCAGCAATGCCTACTGTCCAGAGGATGTTTATATCATGAATGGTCACCCATGTGACAACATGAAGTCATATTGCTACTATGGAGTATGCCAGAGTTTTGATTCACAATGTGAATCTATATATGGAAAAGGTACGTTTAGAATTTAATGTAAAAAGACTTGGAAAAATATCCTAATAGATATTTATGATTTTTTTCTTTTTCCTTCTCATGTTTTTAAGACAGCTTACTAAGATTCACTATTTCTTGTCCAGGGGCACGAAAAGCACCTGATGTATGCTTTGAAAAAGCAAATATTAAAGGAGACAGATTTGGAAACTGTGGAATGAGAGGTGGAGTGTACAAGAAATGTCCTGTTCAGTAAGTCAACAACAACAACAAAAAGCTAACCATAAAATCTTCAATGTGAAAAATATATTCTGTTACAAACTCCTAGAGCATGAGATTTAAAAATAATATTTCGTAGAATGGAATCACAGAATGGTTTGGGTTGGAAGGGACCTTAAAGCTCATCCAGTTCCAACCCCCCTGCCATCAGCAGGGACAACTTCCACTAGACCAGGTTGCTCAAAGCCTCATCCAACCTGGCCTTCAACACTTCCAGGGAGGAGCAGCCACAACTTCCTTGGGCAACCTGGGCCAGTGTCTGACCACCCTCACAGTGAAGAACTTCTTCCTAATATCTAATCTAAACCTCCCCTCTTTCAGCTTAAACCCATTTCCCCTTGTTCTGTCATTAACTGCCCTTATGAAAAGTCCCTCCCCAGCTTTCTTGTAGCCCCTTCAGGTACTGGGAGGCCGCTATAAGGTCTCCCCGGAGCCTTCTCTTCTCCAGGCTGAACAGCCCCAACTCTCTCAGCCTGTCTTCATAGGAGAGGTGCTCCAGCCCTCGGATCATCCTGGTGGCCTCCTCTGGACTTGTTCTAACTGGTCCATGTCTTTCTTGTGATGGGGGCTCCAGAACTGGATGCAGTACTCCAGGTGGGGCCTTACAAGAGCGGAGTAGAGGGGCAGAATCCCCTCCCTCGACCTGCTGGACACGCTTCTCTTGATGCAGCCCAGGATTTCCTTGAAATGCAAGCTAAAAAGTTTGACTGGATGGTGTATTTGCACTGATCCTTTGGTTTTTGGGGTTTTTTTCCTGTTCACCTTGTCTCTGAGTGTAATTTGTTCAATACAGGCATAGTCTGTGTGGCAAGCTCCAGTGTACGTCTGTTAGTCTTCAAAATCTTCCTGCTTGGAGTGTTGTCAATAACGCATCTGGGGTTTTATGCTGGTCTTCTGACTTTGATTTAGGATCAGATGTCCCTGATCCTGCTCAAGTTCATGATGGAACAGCCTGTGGAGAAAACAAGGTAAAGAGGAATCACAGCAGTATTACAGAATATATTGAACCAACTAGGAACTTTATAACTTTGAAAAAGTGTTACATAGCTCTTTTATTTGTATACCATAATATAATTAAAAATCTACTTTTTGAGATATACAAACAATTAATTAGCTCTTCAAAAACTGGGATGCTACAAATCAGTGAACTACATTATCAGTTATTCAAAGTACTCCATCAAAATGCATCCACAGGCTTAAGAAAATCTGAGACAAATACAGCTATAAAATCGTGAAGTGCTGAATGTTCTATCAACCCTTTTTCTTGACATTTAAGGAAAAGCTGTAGACCTGTAAACATAGACATGTACATAGTATATTTATTAAAAGGGGGGATTTTCTTTTTGAAGTTTTACATTTGAAAGACACTGAATACTTTTTGCAGGCCTGTTTAGATTTTGAATGTGTTAATGCAAGTCATCTGGGCTACAGCTGTGATGTAAAGCAGGAGTGTAACGATAATGGGGTGAGTAGATGGTGTTTTCATGCCGTTTCTAAAAGACAGAGTTAGGTGCAAAATCCTCCCATAAAAGCAATAACCAGCCAGATGGCTTTTTTTTTTCCCTAATCTGTGTTAAAAGCTCACTTTTTAATCTGTAATTCATGTTGTCAGTAAACCTCTTAGCACTAACATCAAAAGACATGTCTTCTGAATTTCTCTAGGGAATTTTCAAATATTACTGAGCTGTCAAGTTGTAAAAGGAAAATATTCCTCTGAGGAGGACAGTCTAGTGATTCCTGATTTATCTATCTCTCTATGAAAAATCAAATTATAGTCCAGAGGCTGTAAAACTGAGAAAGACTGTAATCTATTGTAGGCAAATAACTAAAATAAAGGTTAACTTCTGCAGAGGATTAACTTCTGGTATCAGTATTACTCAGTGTTTGGGGATGTTATGGAGGGGGGAGCTTATTCCCAAGAAATACTCTGCAAGATGTCACGTTTCCACATGCAATTTGACATGTGTAACTCCAAATATTTACTGGTGGTTGTAAGTGGCTGCTTGCAGAAAGGTGTTGTCCGTTTCAGTAATCCCTGTGGTATGAACTGTAGGTGTGCAACAACAACGGGAACTGCCACTGCAATTCTGGGTGGGCTCCTCCGTCGTGCAGCCGGTCGGGCTACGGCGGCAGCGTCGACAGCGGTCCGGCTCACGTAGGTAGGACAGTGAATCTGGCCTTTGTTCTGCCCCCACTGGCTGAGAAAACAATCAGCTGCTAACAGGGGTTTTTTCAGTCTCCCTGCAACTCTCTTCTTTTTTTTCTACTGCACGGGACACTTAATCATGGACTGACTTGAAGAACAAACATTATTATCTGATGTGCACATTTGTAGACATCAGGGAAGTTGGTGGGAGGGAGAATTTGACCTCCGTTTTGTCCAAGATAAAAATAAATACATTAGTTGCTTAGAATTATTGTTACATTTTTTAAATAGTTAAATATTTAGATATTTACTTAGGTATTTTTTGGTGATTTCACCCTTTCTCCCCCAGGGAGTAGGGGAGAGAATTGGAAAGAAAAGGGTGAGGAGACTCATGGATTGAGATAAAAACTATTTACTAATTAAAATAAAATAATAACAGTAATAACAGAATTTACAAATGAGTGATGCCCAGTGCAGTTGCTCACCACCCGCCGACTGATGCCCGGCCTGTGCCAGCCAGTGATCCTGGAGCAGAGACAGTCCCCAAACCCAAACCTCACCAGAGTGAGCCCGAGTGATCCCCGAGAGAATACCCCCCATTTCCAGTCACCCCTGGTTAATGTACTGACATGGTGTGATCTGATCTGGAATATCCCATTGCCACATCCAAATGCCAGCTTTGGGTTTTGCTATTCACTAAACTTTTCTCCTCCCAGTCCTAATGCAGCTGTGAACAGCCAAACACGGTGGCCTTGGGCTCCAGCAGCAACTAATGACATTAGTACTTTTATCAACATTCTTCTCATAACAAATCCCATCCTGAAACTAAACCACAGCTATTCTGGCTGCTAAGAAGAGAATTAACTCTATCCTAGCAAAACCAGGACAGTATCTGAAAGAGTTCTGATAAAATGGATGTCAGAGAGAAAGACTAGAGCTTGAGAAGGAAACCAGCAGCCTTTATGTATGGAAGGGGTCTCAGAAATGAGAGGGGTTGAGGAGGCACATGCAGCAGTCGGCTCCTGTGACAGCCAGGAAGTTCTGCAAAGGGAAAATTTGGTGGGCATCACACTGAGAGACCGTGCAGATGTTTGGTATTTAGTAATAACTTAGGACAAAGAAGATGTGCAGATCAGTTGTGGGTAAGCAAGTAGAAAATGAATTTGTCTGCTTTAGAATCCTTGAAAAAATAAATGGAAAAGGAAAATGTTTGTATATCTCACAACATGGGGGTGGGTAAGGCAGAAAGAACTTGTGATAAATGTGATAAATGGCCAAATCCTACTTTTCTGATCACAGCATTTTTATAAATTTTAGTGGAGTTACTAGATTAAATCTATAGTAATTTGAAGATTGTAGGTTTTACAACAGAAAGGTGTTTTTAGCAGAAAAAAAATGCTGTAATATGGGGTTAAACAAGCTCACTATCTTACATGATTTCAATTCTTTTTTCTCTAGATACATCACTTCGGGATGGCCTGCTTATTTTTTTCCTCCTTGTGTTGCCAGTAGTAACCGTTACTGTATTAGCAGTAATTAAGCGTGATGCAATAAAAAGGAAGTTTTGCAGGAAAAGCAGAAGACAGCACAGGTATTTCATTACTAGAAATGCATATTTCAACACTTGAGAGCATGCTCCAGATTAATTTAGCAAGCCAGACACTTTATCTATACGAAGAATTCCATATGTCCTAAAGGGAAAGACTTCCCTGCTATTAGTAGTAGTCGGTAGTTTAATAGCCAGTACCCTGCTATTTAGGTAGTTTAAGCCACATGCTTCAGCTGTCAGTTCTCAAGCTGTTTTTCCCAAAAATACATTGCACTTTCCTAATTGTTATTGATAATTTTATTTCATGGACCTGGGCCATGATATATAGAAATTATTTATCCAGACCAGAACGGGGTGGAGTCAGAAAGAGAATCCAGGTCTCTGAGCTGTAGCCTCGTCCCTTGAAAAACATGACATCCCTGAAGGTAGATAAACCACATGGGGATGTGCCTGATGATGTGTTTTTTTATTTCAGGGATAAAAATGTGCAGCAACCAAATGAAAATAACAGACCAAGTCATAACACAAGAAATAATCAGGTAAGATAAGATGCATACTTGCATTATTTCGTGTTGAGATCCAAATTATATGGTGCCTTTTCTCCCATATAGTTACTTCAGACTTTGGGGCTTTTTTGTTACATTGAAACCATCTGAATTTGCAAGTATTTAAAATAATTTATAATGTGTTAGACAGGATTTCTATTTGGCTGAGTATGAGCTTTATTGCCTGCCCCGTCAACACAAGGCTGTGCGTAGAATGGGATGGAACAGGCTGCTACTTAGCAGAGCAGCCAAAGATTGAACTCTGAATTCTGTGGCCAAATACCAAAGAAGCTGCTTGGACCAGCTGTGAATCTAGTTCTGGTAAAACAAGATAAAAATTATCAAACCAAAATGTTGCAAGAGAACATGAAGAATGTCACAGGAAATTAAAATTAGTTCTAAAATACCACGAGGTTAATAGCAAATAATTAGCCACACTCTGAAATCTGTGATCTATGTTAACTTGATTTTCTGCACCATCTTTTCCAGCCTGCCACATCAAGCCCTGATTTTTTTACCATATCACATTTCCCTGCTCCAAGGTTTGTAGTATTTAAAACCTTTTTTATTTTTTACTTCATATTGGCTATGTTTACATTGCTGTATCATTGTGTAAGTGAAATTCCTAATGTCTCATGTCCTGCTGAGGAGGATTTTTCATACAGGAGCATATAAGAGAAAACAGACTAAATGCTTGAAGGAGGAATACTGGGTTTGTGGATAATGGCCCATGTAAATGCTGCTTGGGAGAGGGAGAGGCAGGGAGAGTTAAATAGAGAGTCTTCACTGTGAGGGTGGTCAGACACTGGAACAGGTTGCCCAAGGAAGTTGTAGATGCCCCCTCCCTGGAAGTGTTGAAGGCCAGGTTGGATGAGGCTTTGAGCAACCTGGTCTAGTGGAAGGTGTCCCTGCTGATGGCAGGGGCGTTGGAACTGGATGAGCTTTAAGGTCCCTTCCGACCCAAACCATTCTATGATTCTATGATATGTATAAATGCTGGCAACTGTTTAAAAAAAGGTAAAGAAACATTTTAGAAACAGCAGTTGTCTCAAGTCATTAAGTACTTCCCAAAATGTGTTTTCCACCCTTCAGGCAGGCAGCACAAAGCCCGTTTCCTGCCATTCCTTCAGGACCTCAGCTGCCCACGGTCCCACCTAGACCAGCTGTCTGAGAAGTTTCCTGCAAAACCTCAACCAATCCTGACAAGTAACTGGACTGAAAAGAAAATTAAAGATTGCAGCCAAACACCTTCAGAAAGCACGTGCTTCTGGGAAAGACTGGATGCTCAGAGGCACAGAACAGAGATTTTGTCACGTCCCATTGTTTTGCTGATTGCTGCTGGCTGTGTTGGTGCCTCTTCTACCTCACCTCTTGGGGTCTTTTAAATCAGAAGCCTCAAGTTCAGCTCTTGTTAGATTAAGTCTGTAACAGCATCAGAAAACAGGCACCTTCAGAAGGGCAGCCTTACTTGGCAGGCCAGAAAGAAGTGAATTCAGTTATTTACAGACAGAATTTATTCACCTCTAGTCATACGCTGCTGTGAAAGTGAGAATGGAGCCTGACCTCTCGGGAAGTCCTCAGTCTGTCTGCCTCCTGGACCACCTCCCTGTGCGCTGCTCTGAGCCGTGTCCTTGGGATCCAGATCCCACCTCTCATTACCTACAAGCTGCCTTACTTGCCAGTTCAGGTCATTTAGAAAAGTAACCTCATCCTGGGACACCAGCAACGGAAAGAAACTCTGTAGATAATGTATCTTGAGTTTACAAAACCCAAGTCATCCCTGTTGTTAAAGAAAATACGGTCTATCAGGAGATACATTCTGCACCTTCACAGTGGTTTAATGTTCAGTGGTAATTACAGATTGAGATTTTGGCTAGAAACAGATTCATAGAATCATAGAATGGTTTGGATTGGAAGGGACCTTAAAGCTCATCCAGTTCCAACCCCCCTGCCAGCAGCAGGGACACCTTCCACTAGATCAGGTTGCTCAAAGCGTCATCCAACCTGGCCTTCAACACTTCCAGGGAGGAGCAGCCACAGCTTCCTTGGGCAACCTGTTCCAGTGTCTCACCACCCTCACAGTGAAGAACTTCTTCCTAATATCTCATCTAAACCTCCCCTCTTTCAGCTTAAACCCATTTCCCCTTGTTCTGTCATTAACTGCCCTTATGAAAAGGGCACTTTGTATTCCACTACAAAAGCACCAGCCAACTTTGTCATTTGCAATGGGACACTGAGGGAGTGGCACCAATTTCAAGGAGAACGGGTGAAGTGACGTAGTTTGTCCGAATGGCAACTGAGGGAGAAGCTGCTGCACAGACAACAAGGCACTGGCAGGAAGGAAGCTGTGGGTGCTGATCGATCCACACACTGGGGAATGAATCACACACTGACCTGGGGAACGTGAACTAACAAAGACAGTGAATAAATTAAGGAGTGGCCTCGCCAAGAAAATACTTCTAATCCCTTTGATGAGCCAGAGAAGAGCTGGATCAAAGAACCCAAATACACTGTGCACTGGCAAAAAGGGTCTTCTGATGAACCATTGTCTCTTTTTAATTCCTTAGAATCTTAAATTTTTATTACCAATTAAATATTCTTATCATTTACGCCTTATTAACAAGCACATGACAATAATATAATTTAACATAAATCATCAGTGTCAGCGTTCTTGGTAGTATTTTGATTTTATGATCATAACAAAAGGCACCGCCGGGCACACCTGTGAAAGAGCAATCACAGACTGGTTTGGGTTGGAAAGGGGCTTTCAAGGTCATCTAGCCCAACCCCCTGCAGTGAGCAGGGACATCTTCAACCACATCAGGTTGCTCAGAGCCCCGTCCAACCTGGCCTTGAATGTTTCCAGGGATGGGGCTTCTACCACCTCTCTGGGCAACCTGGGCCAGTGTCTCACCACCCTCAGTGTAAAAAATTTCTTCCTTCTATCTGGTCTAAATTTCCTCTTTTAGTTTAAAACCATCACCCCTTG